CTGACTGACTGACTGACTGACTGATTGATTGATTGATTGATTGATTGATTGATTGATTGATTTCTTGGTCGATTGGTTGATTGATTGATTGATTGATTGGTTGATTGATTGATCGGTTGATTGATTGAACTGATTGGATTGGTTGATTTCATTGATTGACTGCTTGTTTGCTTCTTTGATTGATTGGTGGATTGCTTGATTGGCTGATTGAATGATTCGTTGATTGGTTGGTTGATTGATTGGTTGATTGATTGATTGATTGATTGATTGATTGATTGATTGATTGATTGATTGATTGATTGAACTGACGGTGTTGTTTTTTGAAGGTAGGTTTTTTATTTTATTGATTGACTGCTTAACTGATTGACTGATTAGACTGATTGACTGATTGACTGATTGATTGATTGATTGATTGATTGATTGGTTGGTTGATTGATTGGTTGATTGATTGATTGATTGATTGATTGGTGGAACGCTTGGTTGATTGACCGACTGACTGAGTTGATTTCATGGACGGTTGGTTGGCTGATTGATCTGATTGATTGACTGACTGATTGAGTGATTGGTTAACTGATTGATTGGTTCATTGGTTCATTGGTTTGATTCAGTTTGATTTGATTTGATTTGATTCAATTTGATTTGATTGATTTGATTGATTGATTGATTGATTGACTGATTGATTGATTGATTGATGGATTGGTCGATTGGCTGGTTGTCTGATTGATTGGTTGGTTGATTGATTGATTGATTGATTGATTGGTTCGTTTGTTCGTTCGTTCGTTCGTTTGTTTCTTGGTGGGTGGGCGGGTGGGTGGGTGCGCCGTTCGTGCGTTCGATCGTTTGTTTGTTTGTTGCCTGTTGGCGCACGTCTGTTTCTTCGTTTGTTGGTGTGCGTTTGGTTGTTTTTTTGTCTGCTTCCGCGTGTGTTTGACGTTTGTTCGTGTTTTGGTCTTTTCTTGTGTGGCGTGGTGGCGTGTGTGTGTGTGTGTGGGTGCGTGCGTGCGTGCGTGCGTGCGTGCGTGCGTGCGTGCGTGCGTGCGTGCGTGCGTGCGTGCGTGCGTGCGTGCGCGGGTGGGTGTGTGGGTGGGTGGGTGGGTGGGTGGGTGGGTGGGTGGGTGGGTGGGTGGGTGGGTGGTGGGTGGGTGGGTGGGTGGGTGGGTGGGTGGGTGGGTGGGTGGGTGGGTGGGTGGGTGGGTGGGTGGGTGGGTGGGTTGGTGGGTGCGTACGTACGTACGTGCGTGCGTGGGTGGGTGGGTGGGTGGGTGGGTGGGTGGGCGGGTGGGTGGGTGGGTGCGCGCGTGTGTGTGGGCTTGTGTGTTTGCGCGGTTGTGTGTTCCTGGGTTTGTGCTTCGATACTCGGCCTTGTGTGTGTGCGCGTGCTTTTACTTGGCAGGCCACGGTTCGGACGTTATGCTCCCCGACGAGGCGGGGTGTGGTCAGTTGCGTTTGCCCTCCAAACTCAGCGCAACGCGCAGGACCAGGACTCGGCAGAGAAAATCCCCCAGCCAGCCGACAACTTAGCGCTTCACAAAACGGCGTCACAAAGTGCCAATGTGCTTTTCGTGCGATTAAGGTGAGGCCAGTTGCTACTCCTGTCCGCGTGCTTGATCAGGCCGGCGGATTAAACAAGTCTGCGTTGTGTGCTGCCACGCCCATGCGACAGGAGATCTCCGCAAAGGACGCGCCGCACACCGAAGCCAGGACAAGCCAGCCAGAGCCTGCAGCTGAAGGCAGCGTCCCACCTTCCAGGGTCGCCACCAAGGCCCGTGCGTTTGCCCCAAAGCAGAAAGCTGCCCCAAAGCAGAAAGCTGCCCCGAAGCAGAAAGCTGCCCCAAAGCAGAAAGCTGCCCCAAAGAAGAAAGCTGTGTCTAAGCCAGCCACCAGCCCTCGCGGCAAAGCCAAAAGCCGACCAGCCAAGCGGACCAAGCCTGATACCCAGGAGGCCGGAAAGATTGACACATGACAACAAAAGAACATGCGCCGCGTTGCTAGGAGCCAATGACGCTTTTGCAGCTGAAGAAGTCGCTACACTCTGCCAAGGGCTTACTCCACTAGGGTTTTCTTTCGCAGTGAACATAAAATAGACTTGAACCAAGGCCTACAGCTCTGGCTGGAAGATGGCAAAAAGTGCCGGCGGCAATGGCGGTGCCGATTGGAAAGCAGCTGGGCTTAAGGCGCGCCAGGAAAGGCTGGAACGCTTTAAGCGGGAGGGCGTGCAAGTGGCTCTCACTTTTGAGTCTTAGACGTTAGATCCTGGGGTGCTGGATCAAAACGAGCCAAGGGGTGTGGAAAAGCGCGAGCAGCGCCAATTGTTGCCTTTCTTGAACAGTTGATGATGCGATGTTATTGCAACACTTGTCAAATTCTCAACTTGCCAGGTCGTTTTCGATCTACATCACATCGCGAAGGGAGCTTGCGAACTCAAGACGCGGAAAAACGCGTGCAAGGGACTGGGAGGGCCTCGTAGGCATCCAAGCATGACCAGCATGCGTCACATGTTGCAGCCCCAAAAAGAAACACCCAGTTCGTCAATAGAAAACACCCAGATGCACCCAGACTGGCTTAGTTGCATCTTCCACTTATCAAGTTGGTGGATCTTTGGCCAAGCAGGAATAGATACCCTCTCGGCTTCTTTCCTCGAGATCCTCGGTCTATCGTTCTTGACCTCTCGATCATCTCTCGATCTTCTTTGTCTCCTCCGTGTCCGATTGTCATCTTCTTCCTCTTCTTCTTCCTCGTCTTCTTCATCCTCTTCGTCGTCGTCGTCCTCGTCCTCATCATCGGGTGGGTCATCCGGAGGTCCTCCTCCGCCACCTGTGAGGCTCAACTGACGTCGACTTGCTCCCTGCCTATTTCCATTAGGCGAGAACCCACTGTAATCCAATGGGGGCGTAGTACCGTTGTTTCCCCCTCCATCACCGCCACCAGTCGCAGTAGTGGATTGTGGGACATGTCCGACAACCCCTTGCATCTGTGATAGGTGTACGTCGATCATTGGATCACCAAAAGACGGAAAGAGAATCGAACCTGGCATTAGCGACGAATTAGGGGTCAGATTTGAAGACGATGACGGGACTAACCCAGCCATCTTCTTGTCTACCCTAGTTGAATTAGCTTGGGGTCCTCCCTCAGCGCGCTTCACTACTGCTCGTTCACGATGTCCATCCTTACTGCTGGAGGCTTCCTGTGTCTCCAGCTTCTTGTGTGCACGTAGTTCCTCATTGTCAGCATCGAGTTGGCGAACAAAACTCTCTTCTTGCTTGAGCGTCGCCTCCCTTTCCTTCAGTTGTCCCTGAAGCTCATGCATCTCCTCGAGGTATTCGTCGTACACTCCCTTAGCTGTCAATCTCCAGTACTCAGCCTCCTTTGACTTCTCGTCCATCGTGCACCGTTCTTCTTGTTTTGCTTCTTTGACCTGGGCTAATTCCAAGATCGCATCTTGACGATGACCACCCTCGATAGCAATCATTTGGTCCTTCATCGACACGTCGGATTCATACTGTTTGACGATCTCTTCCTTCTCGCGAAGCAAGCAATCTGCTCTCTTTGATTCTTGTTCCGCAAATACTGTAACGTCATTCAGCCTCGCCATCAGTTGTTCCCTGGAGTCCTCCATAGAGTACGTCTCGGGGCGCTTGACGAGAGTGTGCTCCAACTGTGATTTCAGACTTTGGACCATCTCCTCCTCGTTGAACTTCTCGATAGATGTAGACGATTCGATGCCTCTGATCTGTTGCTGATAAACTGATATCTGCTGTGAAGCTTCACGGTGTATCTGATTTGCACGTATAGCTGATTCCTGCGCGGCCGACTTCTCGCTTGCCATGTAGGATTTCATCACTGCAATCTCCCGCTTCTGCTCCATGATAGTTCCTTCAGCTTGTCTCATCTGTTGCATTATAACATTCGACTCCATGTCTTTCTTTTCCCCGTACTGATATGCGTTCATTTCCACCTTGCGCATCTGTTGGGCTTCTTCCTCAAACTTGCGCCATGCCTCAGCCATGTGGTGTTGGTGGTGACTCACTAGATGTCCCGACTGCTTGCTGGCAATCTCGCATCGTCTTTCCAGCTCCTGGATCCGGATGGTGCTTCCATAGTCTTCTTGATGAAGATTCGCCATTGCTGCCGACATTTCATCAAGTGTCTTTTGATATTCCCCGATCTCCACCTCCATCTTGTTCTTTTCTTTGATCGCGGCGCGAAACTCCGCACTGGTGGGTGATTTTGACCTCCCACCCTTCGATGTCGATCTCACGCCCTTCTGCGACGTCCGTGGTGTCGCAGGCGAAGATGATGATCTTCTCGGTGGGGATTCTCTTTGCTTCGACTCCTGATGAACATCGATCTGCTTCCATGATCTTGTGGGAGTGGATATGTCGCTGAATAGCGCGGAACCTCCGCTCCCAGGTTCATCCTGTGAATCTGCGATCATATCCATCACCGCAGGAAGAGCCATCAATCCATTGGATCCCTCTGAGCTGCTGTTCCCAAAAGTTGCAGTACTTGGGCTCGCTGAAGACGCCATTGTACTGTGTAGGTTATCGTTCCTTTATTGTCCCTGTACCCGCAATAAACCAGCTGTCTCCCTGTCCAGTGTAGAGCTTGTCGATACGGCTGATAACCTGTCAAGAGACGGCAAGGTGACGTCCCGTGGGACGCTGTGCACCGAACCCTCCAGCTGTAATACCAACCACGTAGAAAGGTGTATACGGACGATGCCGTTATAGCCGAACCCGTGTAAACGTTGTAAGGGAGAAGGAATGATAGTTACAACAGTGGTCCTGACAAATGCAGCGCAAGCGAAGTGTTTTCCGCTCTCAATGCCGATCACGTGTGAATGCAGCTACACATCCGATCTTGAACCTCAATGTTGTCTTGAGCTAAATGGCGATCAATGGAACTTGGTAAGCAACACTAACACAGACCTCAGAACAGCTTCCCAATTTAGGCACGGGGCCTAGAGGGTTTTAACACCTGGTAACCACCCTTGAAGCCACCTTTGTACCCTTTTCCTTTGTATCCTCCTTTGTATCCTTTGCCTTTGCCCTTGCTCTTGCCTCCTTTGCCCTTGCCTTTGTTCATGGGGCACTCAGTGGAGATATGATATCTGCTACCACAAATGTAGCAGCTACGGCCTTTGCCCTTCTGCTGCCCGTAGTACTCCTCGTGGACTTCCTCCGCGTTCTTTGCAGCATTGGGCGATTGTTCTCCACCTGGTTCCGTCGTCGATGATAACGACGGAGCGTCCACCTGGGATTGGTCATAGTACTCATCGTAGTCCTCATAGTCGCCGTCATCTTCGTAATCGTAGTAGACGTCCTCGTTCTCCTGGTAGTAGTCCTCACCGATCCACTCCATAGGATCGTACCACTCCTGGCTGTACCAATCCTCATCCGTGTATGTCGGCTCCTGGTAGTAGTCCTCGTTGTAGAACACATCGCTCTGTGCATCACTCTTGTTGCTGAGGCAAAGAGCCAAGGATCTGGCATCTGCGAAGCGATTGAGGTTGCCTCCGATCTGCATCTTGAGGTCGTCGATCATCTTTGGCGGCAAACCTGAGCTCTTAAAGAACAGGTAAAACTTCGCAACCTCGTTGATCTGTAATCCAGCTCGATCGGCGGCTTCCTCCAATCGCATGTCCCACTCGACCGCATACTCCTGAAAGCTCATCTTGTGCCGTCTGCACTCAAAGAACCTGTCGAGCGATGATGAAGCCATGTCCTGATCGCTCTGCCCAAAGGCATCTCTGAGCGCGTTGCACAAGCACTGAACGCCAGATGGAATATGGGCCTGCAGGATCTGATTGGGGTTGATCGGGTCTCTGACTTCGTCGACTGCCAGTCTCACCAGTGCTGAGTCTCCTTGGTCGAAGGTTCCGTCCGGTCGCGGCACACGCAGCTGCAGGGCTATGCGATGAGCGCGACCATGTAATCGACCTGCCACCAAAGGCCCGACACACTCATCAGGTCCATCATATACCCTGTACCACAGCTTCAGTTTGTCGAAGTACAAACGAAGAGGATAGTCAGGTAGTGCCTGCGTTCGTCCCGGGAGGTGCTGCCATTGCTGTACGTGGGCTCGCGCCAACACCGTCTCCTGGATCGAATTCTCTGCCTCCTCCTGGCCAGATGCCCGAGGCTCAAGCCTTGGGGCTTACAGAAGCCAAGATCGCCGCGTGCGGGTGCTTGTTCTCGAACTCCTCCGCGCCTCCACCGGTTCCCTCAGCGGGGAGAACCGTCCCCCTGACTGAGGGACCAGTAGCCCAGCGAGAGGCCCCGACAAATGGCGCCGGAGACCCCAAATTGTGGAGCAGCTTACCCGCTCCGCTACCAAACTCGCTTTTCTATATGAGCTCAAGGCCTGCGGTGACATGTGTTCATGTCGTATGTGAAACTTCACTTAAACCTCTTGGCCGTGAGATCATATTCGCGTCCAGACCCCAAGCCCTTTCTGCGCCACCCGCGCTGGCCACCTCTCACACCGGAGGCGATGTATCTCGTCACCCGGGCTTGGGCGGCAGGAACCTACGTTCTTGGATCTTCCCCTAGAGGAACTTGCAGGTTATACCGCGGTCATGGTTGTTGTTCGTGAGGGACACTGCTTGATCAGCTGGTAGTGCTTGGCACCGGTCGTGGAGTAGAGGGTGCGCGACTCTTTCTTACTGGAGTTCTGAGAGCCGTCAGTTGTGGAGGTCTTGCAATCAGCCCGATCGGTTCGTAGGGCTCGCCAAAGAAACCGCTGCGGACCTTGCGCTCCGCTACCATGTATCTATAGTTCCCAACATTGTCATCGAGCATGGGCTCCGTTTTCCGCGGGCTCCAGGCGCCCAGTTTGAGTAGAGAAACGGCGGCAAGTCATGGGTTAGGGGTCACTGGTTTCTCAATACCTGTATATATATACATAGAGCGGGATGGTTGTTTTTGCAAACGCGCAAATAGGTCACTTCAAGGCAAACCAACTGACTCAACACCAATCCGCACCTCAACAACTCCAAACATGTTAAAGAGTATAACCCGGATGTGATCATATCTGTAGGGTATAGGATAAATTATATTTTTGGGTACAAAGTGCAGAACATGGGCAACACAACAATTAAAGCAACCTACAACACGAGGTTATAGCAGTAATTAATCAATAATTGAAACTGACCCTAATCTGTTGATTGAAGTTATATCTCAGTAAAACAAAACTGCCCAAAAGAAAAATAATCATAACGATATAATAGAATTAATCAAACCATTCTCATATACTTGGTGTTGTTTGCAAACATACGATCAACAAATATTTCCAAATACTAATACCTCAAGTGATATTGATATATCTATAGAAAATGTATATCAAGGTATCGAAAAGCTTGGTCAAGAACTATACCCTAGCGTTGAAAAAAAAGCTTCTCACTTGCTATAGTTTATCATTTAAACTCATCATGGTGCAGGTCTTGCTGGGACAAAGATAGCTCAGGAACTTGATGCAAAAGGGTATATGATAAAATGTGTTGTTGATGATGATATATCTCTAAAAAAGAAGCATAGATGGTAAAATAGTTTTCTCAAAAATGGAATTGCAGAAAATCAATATGATCTTCAAATTTTGACCTTTTAGTTGTAGCATTGCCAACATCAGCTAACTCAACTATTAAGACATATACGAAGGTTTAAAGACAGATTTTAAACGAATCCAAATAATGCCACCTGTAGAAGATGTTATTCAAGAGTTTTATGTCACGGCTTAAGCCTGTTTCACTTTATGACTTACTTTCTAGAGGCTCGAACACTCTTGGCAAAGAATCTATTTCACGCTGTATTAAGGAGAAAAGAGTCCTTATTACAGGGGCAGGGGGGAGTATCGGCCCTGAAATTGTTAGGGAACGAATTAAGTATGATGCTAAGCAAATAATTTTACTCGACCACATTGAATTTGATTCATATAAAATGTCTGAAGATATTATATAATATTAAAACTACTTTATGTTCTGTTTGTGATTTAGAAATGTTACAAAATGTGTTTAGTGATTACTTTCCAGATATAGTGTTTCATGCAGCCGCTTACAAACATGTGCCTTTAGTTGAGGAAAATATATCAAAGACCATACAAAAATGAACCTTTTCTAGATCTAGTAGTTAACATTACATGTGCATGAGGATTACCATGATGTGTAACAAGCCGAAAAACTCTCGACAAATCGAACAAAAAACAAACAACACTTTTGCAGAGGACATTACTGGTATACCCCTGTCATCTCTCCTAGAACGTTGTCTTTCTTTCTTTGTGCCAGCAGTCAGGGATGAATAGAAAACCGGAAAAAACTTAAGAAAACCAAAAAAACAACAAATTGCAGAGGACATTACTGGTGTACCCTGTCATCTCTCCTATAACTTGCTTTTTGTTTTGATTTTTCCCGATTTCTCAAAGTTTTTTTGAGGCTTCTAAGTGGGTAGAACCAAGCATCTCTTTGTTTTTTCGGTGTTGTTTTTTCCCCCGATTTCTCGAGGTGTTTTTCGGCTCGGGGTTTCCAAGCAGGCAAATCACCTGAAATCATAGCAAAAGCGCTTGGGTGCAAAAAACCAGGGCCCAGGGCGTAGAATTCTGTATACATATCACAAACACACTGTCAATTACAGGGTTTCCTGCAATGTGCAAACCAAGTGGACACTGAACATCTGCAAATAAGTCTCTTTTGTGCAAAAAATAGCAAGGAGTTTGTTTTGTTTTGTTTTTTGTAGGGGGAGGGGTGACCGCATATGTATGTGTATACATATATATATATATATGTATATTATGTTCCTAATATACTTAATATTTGTATGTATCTGTCTATGTATACGTACACATGGAGCGGCAATATGGGAGGTGCCCCAAAAACCATCCGTTGGACCCTCCAAGGCCGGTTTTATTCGGACGTTTCAAGCCAATCCCGCAAACTGTATACCGTTTAAAGAAAAAGATGGGGTGATTTCACTCCAACATTTTGGGGCAACCCATTTCTCTGGATAGTTTGAGGGTCCAGGTTCTTTCAAACAGATCAAGACAGGGCTGTGGGAAATGACCACTTCTGCGATACAGCAGAGAGAGCTTCCCAAAGACTAACCCCCCAGTTAAAGAGGGAGATTCCCTTGTACCAGAAGTGGGGATAAAGCCCTTGATCCCACAACCCTGGATCAAGACCAACACAAAGAATCAAAAAGAACGATATGGCTGTGGGTCAAAACTAGGTACCCAAAATGGCTTGCCCTGGTAAATGGACACATGGCGATCTGCGGTTTTTTGGTGTAATATTGACCCACACCATAATTTTGCTTTTCTCGTGGGCCCCCGGGCTGCACATCGCCTTGAGCTTTGAAGCCTTCGATGATCTTCTTGTGGACACCGGGAGGCTGCTTCCTCGGTGAGGTTTCGGACCCTGTATGTGTGTGTATATATATATATGACCCCAAAAAAAGGCTACATTCACTGGAAATACCAGTGAATTCTGCAAACAGGTGTTTTTGTTTGGGGTACCATATATACATATATATGGGATTGTATTTTTTAGGGTGGCCGGGCAGGAAGGTTTGAGTACGGGGTATGATTCGCAGGTGTGATTCGCGGGTATGATTCGGGGTATGATTCGGGGGTATGATTCGCGGAAGCAGCAGCAGCAGCAGTAGTAGTAGTAGTAGCAGTTCGCAGAAGTAGTAGTACTAGTAGTAATATTGTAGTAGTAACATCACTAGTAGTAGTAGTAGTAGTAGTAGTAGTAGTAGTAGTAGTAGTACTAGTAGTAGTAGTAGTAGTAGTAGTAACAATAGTCGTAGTAGTAGTAGTAGTAGTAGTAGTAGTAACAGTAGAAGCAGCGACTGTAGTGGCGCGGAAGCTTTGAAAAGACTTGGCGCTGGCCTTGGCAAGGCCAGTTCATTGCGCGGGTATGATTCGGGTATGATTCGCGGGTATGATTCGGCTAGGTGCAAAACGGCACTGATTACAAACTCGTAGAAGCTGTGGTAGTAGTAGTAGTAGCAGTAGTAGTGGTAGTCGTAGTAGAAGTTGCAGAAGTAGTGGTAGCAGCTGTAGCATAAGCAGCAGCGGCTGTAGTGGTGCGGACGCTGTGAAAAAGACTTAGCACTAGCCTTGGCAGGGGAAGCTCATTGTCCGGGTATGATTCGGGTATGATTCGCGGGTATGATTCGGCTAGGTGCAAAACGGCACTGATTATACACTCAGAATGATGTATGTGGTAGTAGTGAGTAGTAGCAGCAGCAGCAGAAGCAGGAATAGTAGTAGTAGTAGTAGTAGCAGCAGCAGTAGTAGTAGTAGTAGTAGTAGTAGTAGTAGTAGTAGTAGTAGTAAAAGTAGTAGCAGTCAAGGTTGTAGTCCTAGTAGTAGTTGTAGCAGTAATAAAGGTAGTAGTGGTAGTAGTAGTAGTAGTAGTAGTAGTAGTAGTAGTAGTAGTAGTAGTCAAGGTTGTAGTCGTAGTAGTAGTTGTAGCAGTAATAAAGGTAGTAGTCGTAGTAGTAGTAGTAGTAGTAGTCAAGGTTGTAGTCGCAGTAGTTAGTAGTAAGGGTAACAGAAGCAGAAGTAGAAGCAGTAGAGTAGTAGTAGCAGCGGCAGTAGCGGTGGTAGTGGTAGTAATACTCGTAGTCGCGGTAGTAGCAGTAGTAGTAGTAGTAGTAGTAGTAGTAGTAGTAGTGGTAGTAGCAGTAGTAGTACTAATTGAAGTAGTAATTGTAGTAGTAGTAGTAGTAGTAGTAGTAGCAGTGGCAGTGGCAGTGGTAGTATTGGGTAGCGCTGGTGGTGGTTGTTGTGGAGACAGTGAACAACACAAAACGGTAGAAGAACAGTAGCATCTTGCAGCATACGTTTTAAGGGGTATGATTCGGGGGTATGATTCGGGGTATGATTCGGGGGTATGATTCGGGGGTATGATTCGGGGAGGTCCCACCTTCTGCCTTTTGAAGCAACTCAACACACCAAAAAAAAAACAAACCCATATATATATATATATATGTATGTCGATTTGATATGGGTCTGAGTTTTTAACTCGGGACCCTTTGGTGGACATCATTGAGGTGGGGATTTAGAATTCATGGCCATATATATATATATGGCATATTGCTGTGACCTGCTCACATAATAGAGAAAGGTTTAACAAAAACCGTCCCACCTTTCATCGTGCCAAACATTCCATGAAACATCCTCTGAAAAAACAAACACTTTGCCTGCAAATGACTTTGTGCTCTTTTGCGAATCTCTTAAAGAGCGTTTCATTATGGCCCCTTGCCGTGATACGACCCAAAGCACTGCTGCAAAGGGGTGCTTTTGAACCAAACCTCCTGGCCAAAAGCGGGTGCCTAAAGGCGAGCGGCCACTGCGTCTCCTGCACTTCTTGTGGGTGCTCAGTGAAAGGTAGGCACCACACCTCCGTCGGTGTCCTGAACGCCGCCGTGCTTTCTGGAGGGGCGCTTGAAAAAACCGAAAACCATTTTGGCGTCGAACCCCAAACCGCCCTAGTCACCCCCACAATCAATGATCAACGACCCCAAACTGGTTCCAATTTGTTTCTTATCTGGGTTCTTGGTGGCATGCTAGGAACGCTTTAGCCAGCAAAACGCGTTGCCCTACGTTGCCTTTTTGCAGCGTGGGCTACCATAAAGGGTCGCACAAGGTAGAAGCCCGCAAACAGGCCTACGTAATTCGAATAGGTGTGCGGTGCTGCCCGATGAATTTAAGTAGGACCTTAGACGCAGTTGCTCATGTACGCAGTCAGGCACACAGGCAAATACATATCATGCGTACAACTGAGCATATATGTGCATATGCATATGTAAGTGCACGTGCAAAGACGTCATATGTAGTTCCCACATCATGTATACACCTGTATATCTAGAAACATATACCTACAAATACACAGGAGGGAGGAGGGAGGGAGGGAGGGAGGGAGGGAGGGAGGGAGAGAAAGAGAGAGAGAGATGTTTGAAAGGGCAAGAAGCACCGTATCAGGGAGAGCGTGTGCGCTTGTTTGCGTTCATGTTCATGTTTGTGTGTTTTTGAGGGTACCCCTGCCGGGCTGGTTACAGGCCATGGCGCTCGCTACGGATGCCAGAAGACGGATTTATCTTGCAGGCTTCGACTGCATTGCGACGGTCCCAAAAATTTGGCCCGTGAAACAAGGTGTGTTTTGTTGCTCTCATGTGCATGGACCACCAAGCTCTGAAACCCACTTCCGCCAAAAGTCATTCTTCGGGGAGCGAGGTCGAATCCTGCTGCCTGCCAGCTTCCTGTTGGCCCGGGTCTGCGGCCGCAACTTCAACTTGAGAACCATAAAAGAAGAAGAAAGTGAAGGAAGAGAACAGGAGAATCTCTCAGCACCAGTCTTCATAGGGCGGCACGCACAAAACAAGAAAGCGAAAACAAGAAAAGTCATCTCTCACTCTCACACGTTGGCTCGTTTGCCCCGGGTTAAAAACTATAAGCAAACTGCTTACTCACTTGCTACTGCCACGGGGCCTGACCCCAAGTCACGAACCTTAACAGGCCAGCTCGCGCGCTTGATCTGGATGGCCCAGGGCGCTGGCACACGGAATTCAAATGGAAGATTTCTACCAGGAGCGTGTCTACAACAGGGTGAAATGGGGGCTGAACAAATGACAGTCAGAACCAAGAAAGCTTCACGCATGACACTCATGCACTTGGTAGCGACTGACTGTCGCAAGGCTCCACGCACATGCAAAGCTAAATCTTATGGGGGAGGAACCAAGCCATACATATTATGTAGATATGCAACATGCACAGGTCATCAAATATACATCCAAGACAAAACGACTTATCAAACGCAAAATAAGCTGAAGGCAGGCGACATCCAGCGAAAGACGTACTTGCACAAAAAAACAAGAAACGTTGCCAAGTCGGGCGAAGTTTCTTTCGCCTCTTCCTCTTCTTGCCGTGCTTCTTCTCCTCCTCCTCCTCCTTCTCCTCCTCCTCCTCCTTCTTCTCCCCCTTCCAGAACTTCCTTTTCCTTGCCGAGCTTGCCTTCTGTTTCCTGCGTTCAGCCAGACTTCTCACCCAGGATGGGCCACTTGCCGAAGCCGCTCTATTGAACACACACACACACACCCACACAGCACAAACACACAGAACCACACGGACACAAAAAACACACAGACAGACGCACGCACAGAAACACAGCCACACACAGACAAACGCAGACACACTCAAACACACACACACACAGACACACTCAAACACACACACACACACACACACACACACACACACACACACACACACACACACACACACACACACACACACACACACACACACACACACACACACACACACACACACACACACACACACACACACTCACACACACACACTCACACACACACACACACACACATCACACACACACACACACACACACACACACACACACAACACACACACACACACACACACAACACACACACACACACACACACACACACACACACACACACACACACACAGACACACACACACACTCACACACTCACTCACACACACACACACACACACACACACACACACACACACACACACACACACACAAACACACACACACACACACACACACACAAAAACACACACACACACACACACACACACACACACACACACACACACACACACACACACACACACACACACACACACACACACACACACACACACACACACACACACACACACACACACACACACACACACACACACACACACACACACACACACACACACACACACACACACACACACACACACACACACACACACACACACACACACACACACACACACACACACACACACACACACACACACACACACACACAAAAACACACACACACACACACACACACACACACACACACACACACACACACACACACACACACACACACACACACACACACACACACACACACACACACACACACACACACACACACACACACACACACACACACACACACACACACACACACACACACACACACACACACACACACACACACACACACACACACACACACACACACACACACACACCACACACACACACAAACACACGCACACGCACGCAAGCACGCTCACACACACACACACACCCACCCACCCACCCACCCACGCACGCACGCACGCACGCACGCACGCACGCACGCACGCACGCACGCCCGCACGCCCGCGTCCGCCCGCGCGCACGCCACACACACAGACACACAGACACACAAACACACAAACGCACTGTGGAGAGACCCAGACATTTGCAGACAAACACGGGCACCCCGACACACACACACACACACACACACACACACACACACACACACACACACACACACACACGCACAGAACGAGAGAGTGAGAGAGAGAGACACACAAAGACACACACGCACACAGAGACACACAGACAGACACACATTTGCAGCGGTAACAAAGGAGCACTCCAAGAACCGTGATAATCAGAGTATCGGCTGCCAAAACTGACATAGATACCCAGAAACATACTTCTGAAAAAAAGGAGACAAGTTGACTACCGCCAACCCCAAGCCTAAAGAATCACATCATGTTGCTCAAACCTACAACCCACTGCTCTGCTTTTGGCGGCCTCCCGGTCTTCCGTTTGAGTGACGGCCGCACTTCCAGCTGATGTATCCAGGCGGGGGCGCTGGGACTCGGCGCGCGCACGGAGCCGGGGCCGGAGGCTTCGGCCTCGTCGGAGGGCGAGGAGGGCGAGGCCGCCTCGGAGGCCTCCTGAGCGAAGGACACGCGCGCCGAATCGGAAGGAAGGCCATGGCCGATCGACGGGACGACGGGACTCGCCGTTTGGGCCGCTTGGGGACGAGAAGCTTTGTGGCTGGTTGGAACCATAACACACAGGACCCTTTCTGAGGGAAGTTTCAAGGGAAAACAAAACAATTGCAAACCAAATCGCCCCAAACATATCTGGTTATACCAATTAACTTTAGAAGAATCAACCCAAACCACGATTGGACGTTTTTATCCTCTGGTTCAATTCCTCTTTTTAAGAGTTGGAACCTCCTCGGACTGTTCGGCACGAATTCTGAAGCCGACGGAACAGGGTCCCCCTGTTTTGGGGGGCGTTTGATTGAAGGTAAAACCCGATGGAAAACCGAACATCGAGCCATTTCGGCCAGGGCTGTGGGAAATGACCACTTCTGTGATACAACAAAAAGGGCCTCCCAAAGACTAACCCCCCAGAAAAAGAGGGATTTCCTTGCATCACAGAAGGGGTTGGATAACCCCCCAGTGATCCCACAACCCTGAAATTTCGGGGGTTCCAACCCGAAAGACGAGCCCAGGTGCCTCCTCTAGCTCCAGCATGCCGTTTTGCAGCCGCTCCACCAGATCCGACTCCGCCTTCGGCCGGAGAAAGGCGCAAGACTCCGTCAGCTTCCGCGCAAACATCCCCTGCTCCCTCGGCGCGGAATTGGCACAAATCGACCAGGCCGGTTCAAACGTCCGCGATTGGCAAAATTGCCAAGAACCCCCCCCAATCTTAAATCAAATTGCCAACAAAAGCGCCTGGCTCTTGTGCGTCTAAACATTGGTTTAGCTGCGCACGAGCATCGTGAGCCAAAGATCCGTAGAGGCCCCTCGAGCCCGGGCAAAAAAAACAACAACAAGTTGCGTTCCTCTCTGGCTCCCGAAAATATTGGACGCGAGGGCAAGTCTCACTGCCGGCAGCAGCGGCAACTCCCACTTCTTCCCCAGCGGCACCACGGCCGCGCTTTCCTCGCAAGGAGGTTATGGCTTGGGAGCCGAGACTTGATGCGCTAGGTCTGGGGATTTCTGAAACAAAACCAAATCGAATGCGAGTAAAAGTGCATCCATCGCAAAAAAGGGCTGATTGGCAAAACACAGGCCCCATGGCGGCCCGCTCTCAAACCAAATCGGATGGATGCGCTTTTGTTGTCGTTCTCTCATTTTCGAGGAGAACCAGCAAAGGTAACCAAACTCAAGTCACTAAAGCACAAGACCTTGGTCTTTCAAAAGCGATCGAACGTGCACGCCCATGCTTCTTGGGAGGACACTCCGCAGATTTACATGGACCCCCCCCCAGGGGGGAAAAAAAGGCGAGAAGAAAAGGGTAATGAACAAATATAAAAAAAAAAAAAAAAAAAAAAAAAAAAAACACACACACACACACACGTCATTGGGTTGTAGAGAATCGAATCTCATGGTAATTGGAGCGGCCCCCTTTTTGGGGCTCCGTGTTCATTTGCAGAGTGCTTTCGGGAAAAACACATAGGGATGAATAAAGACAAATAGGGATCAATACCAAAAACAAATAGGGATCAACAAAAAACAATAGATCATGCAGGAAGGCAGGCAGGCAGGCAGGCAGGCACAGGCGCACAGGCACAGGCACAGGCACAGGCGCAGGCACAGGCGCAGGCGCAGGCGCAGGCACAGGCAGGCAGACAGGAGGGAAGGAGAGAAGGAGAGAAAATCGATCCTTTTGCCGGGGCGAGAGTTGACTTCCCAGGCGCGGCCGGGATGCATTCCAAGGTGAGCTACACTCAAAACCGATTCGGGTAGATGAAGGTTAAGGGACCATCCCAGCTTCATAAAAGGCTGCGGGGTAGACCATTTTAATGCCGGGTTTTGATTGCGACTCAGGTGCGGATGGTTTGAACATCGTGCTGTCCTCTTTGAACGTTTTGGCCCTGCTGCAGCTGGGTGCCCGAGCCTCGTGCTGGGCTTCCGTGGCGGTGTGGGCGGCCAGCTCCGTGCCCTTCTTCTCGGCGACCTGGGAGGAGTACTTCACCGGGACCTTGCGCCCCGACTTGACGCGAAGCGCTGGTTTGTGACGAGCTTCGGAGGAGTCTATGCAAGGGGGCCAAAAAGTCTGTAAAGTTGTCTTCTTCTTCTCTGCACATGGGTGGGTGTTTTTTGTTTGTGTTTTTTTGGGCGCCATGTTATTCTGTAGGGGAGTTTTTTTTTTTAGGCGAAGGGTGTCCTTTCTGGAGTGGGTTTAAGGGAAGGGAGGAGGGAAGGAGGGAAGGAGGGAAGGAGGGAAAGAGGGAAGGAGGGAAGGAAGGAGGGAAAGAGGGAAGGAGGGAAGGAGGGAAGGAGGGAAGGAGGGAAGGAGGGAAGGAGGGAAGGAAGGAGGGAGTTTAAGCACTATTTCAACACCCTCCTGTTGGAGCCGTGTGATCAACATGCATTTCTATGATAGCCAGCCCAAGATCTACCTTTCCTCGACTTTGGGCATATACCAAGTCCATATGCATCAATCCATCTTCCAAACTGCAAATCAACCACGTTTGCCAAATCTATATCTACATAGGGGAGGGGGCATTAAGAGCATCAGAATATCCTGGGATTGAAGAAGAAAGGTTCAAGATTCCACCAAACATTTTCTTGACGTCTTCAATCCTACATCCTTGAGTTTGCATGTGGGTCACCATCCTTGGTAAGATGTTCGTAGGGCTGAGAGATGCGCGGGCCCTAGCTAGCACATCCTGTCGGTGTATCCTGGATTCCGAGGAAATATGATGTGAAACTTCAATCTTCAACCGTCAATCTTGGATGTGGCAGCACATTTTCGCACTAAGCTCTCAGCACATCTTAGGATGCTGAGCCACATGGAACGCGGTTTGGCCAGCAGCCATTTGAGCAACAGGTGCATTCTCCTGCATTTTACTAGTACAGTATAAATGTGGGATTGAAGAGGATTCCAAGATGCTTTCCCTGGAAAAGTCTTCTTTCTTCTTAAATCCCAGAATGTACTGATACTACTACTATTCACACCCACCTGGCTAGCAAGCAAACTAAAAATATCAAGAACATGTTTACGCAGGAATCTTCAATCTTCCTTCATCTTTCTTCTATCCCAGGTTATACTGGTACTGGTAACCCGCCGCCCCCCCCCCCCCTCACATAGATTTGGCAGCGGTTTATTTCAGAGTTTGGCAAAGAGACTGACACATACGGAATTGGCACAATTTCAAAGCTGTCTATGGTTTACCTTTTCTCTCAGAGTAAATCTCTCATCTCCGAAATTCAAAACGCTAAGAAGCTAGATCGTGGGGCCGGAGAAGCACTTGACGACACCGCAGCAATGTGTATGTGTATACAATTATATATGCATATGTATGCAATAAGTGTGTATATATATATATACTTTCATACATATATAGTATCGTGTCCCGTGGTCCAACCCCCTCCCCAATGGTATGGCTCTCGCAGGCCAAACCAACACTTAATCAATCCTAACTTGAGCAGAACGCTGAAGCACCTAACCAACCCTAAACCACAAACCAACCCTGCACAGGACCACAGCGGGGGGACCCATATGACCTATGACCATGGGTCAGAAGGGGGGAGGGACACTGCACTATAAAAATCATACAAATTGACATGGTACGCAGGTACACACACACACACCCTTTGTGCTAGTTTGTTTGCTTCACTTGTTTGTCGCCACAATCTATGGCATGCATCTTGGTGAACAGAAATTGTCTGGCCAACCCTAACCTTCACTGGTATCACTTGGTGTGAGTCTTGTGTTCCTTTATCGGTTTGATATGTAGCGCTTGTTGGAGCAAGCGCAATGTGCGAAGTGGCTGCTCGCAAGTCGCAACTTTCACCACCAGTTTAGTACACCACATACACTGTGGCAGCTCCAGGGTAGCTTGCATTCGGCGTGAAGGCCAATAAGTTGGCTCTGGGTTGATTGTTGGTTTGGGTATCGGCTCGGGCCCTGCTTGCGACAACAACTTGGACCTGATGTGTCTTCACGGCTTCTGCGGCTATCCGTTTTTCCATCAGGATTGGTTTGCAATGTTCCAGACCAAGGGCCTCAGTGGGACGGGTCAATACAAAAAAAAGAAGGCGCGTTGCGTTGTGTTTCGGATGCCCGGCTGTTTGCCCGGAAAAAGCATGTCCCCCAAACGGCTCGATTCTCCCAGGTCCCAGGACTTCATGCGGTACCCCAAACTCATTCGAGGGAAGCAGCAACCGGCTCTAACTGACTGTCCAACGGCAAATCAGGATCAATCAACCCGGTTGACTAACAATCTTTTGGGGGGTCAGAACTCCATACTGATCAATCTGCCAGGTTTGTCAAGTCTTGCAGCCAGCACCCGGAAGGGTCTGCTGTTTCCACTGCCTACCCAGGGACGTTTTTGGACGCCACTTTTGGCATGAACAAGGGCAACGCACAGTTCAAAGTGGTTTAAAACACTTTCTGTTTCAACCCCTCCAAACAAAAGGTGTTCCCTTTTGCCACCAACCACAACTAGGTCCTCCAGTAGAGTGGATGGAGTATTTCTGTAGTCTATTTTAGTGGGGAATGTTGCCCCAAAAAGGGGTGAGAACGGGCACTACTGGGGGACCTAGACAAGCAGACCGATCCATCGCCCCATCCCCCACGACCGCTCGACCGCCATCCCATCGGCCGTGGGGATGGCGCCGGACGCGGCCGCGGCCGCCGCGGCCGCGGCGGCCGCGTCCTCAGCTTCCTCCAGCCGCTCCTCCCGCAGCATCCTGATGCCTCGGAAGCGGCTCGCACGCGTTTTTGAGGATGTGATTCTGAGTGCTCCAACCTTGATTTACGGTGCTTGAGGGCTGCTACTCCCCACATAAACAGCCATGTATCTGAATGAATTATAATATTTCACCAACCTTGATTTAAGGTGGTTGGGGGCTGCTCTTCCCCACATCAACCACCATCAATTATGATATGGAGTGAGGTCGTGTGAGGTCGTTATAATTCACCCGGATGTGATGGTGTGCCGCGTGCGGAATCAAAAGCGTATCAAAGTGGGCAACACTGAAATCATGGCATTTGTTGTTTTCCTTTTGGGGTAGTTGACCCTTGGGTATATGTCAAAATAGGGGTTTAGAACCCACAAAAGGGGAAAGAGTAACTACCTTCAACATAACACAAGCCCAATGATTCTATTTGCTGCTTCCCCATTCTCTTCACCCATCTTTCTCTTTACACACCATCAATTGTCGAATTGGTTTGGCCTACCTTCGGAAGACATGGATCCGTGAGAATAAGGGAGGTACAAAAAAACAGCTAGACTTGTCGCCTCGTCTGGTCACGCAACCTTCGGTTTGCTTCGATTCAACTTCCTTTCTCATCAACGGTAGCTTGCAATCCGACAGTTTAAACGGCTGGAGTCCACCAACTCGATCAGTCAACTCTGTGGGCCAAAGTTTTCTCATCAGTGAAACGAGCTAGCTGAAAGGATCCAGAAACAAAAGCCGAGCTGCCGCGTTGGATCTCCTTCTTCCTCATCTCGAAGACTGGCGTTTGTTTGCGCACCCTCCTTGGTGACCCCGGCAATAAAGAAAGGCAAAGCACGGTGAGTAGGGAACATGCCACATCGAAGGTTCCCCGAATTTCCTCAAAAGAAATCACATCAACAAACACACCAGTTTTCCCCACAAGACAAGTGGTCGTTCAAAAGGAGCCAGTGCACTTTTATGCTGGTTGGCAGCAGGATAACAAATAATAACGGATCCACGCTCTGCGAGCTGGGGGATGGCAAGATGCAGAAAACGTTGGCGCTCATCTGGAAAGGTTTCTTGCGAATGAGGAATAATGTCTTTGACGCACGATGTCCAGTTTCGTTTGGCCCCCGGGCGTTCGTGTCGGCGCGCGCCGTGTCCGGCCGCGCGTTCGCGCAGACTGCCGCAAAAAGAGAAAAGCCCAGCTTTTGCGCTTGACACGCGTGCCGTTTCGGGCCGCGTGCTCCAGTCCAGACTACAGTACGGCTTGAGCAGACGCAAAGAAAAGGCGCTCTCGGGGGGGAGGGAGGAGAGTTGGACTTGAACTCGTTGGGAGCTTTGGAACGGGAAAACACAAAACCAAAAGAGACAAAAACAGAGAGACCAAAGAGAACGAGAGAAGAGAGAGAGAGAGAGAGAGAGACAGAGAGAAAGAGAGAAAGAGAGAAGGAGAGAAAGTGAGAAAGAGAGAAGAGAGAAAGAGAGAAAGAGAGAAAGAGAGAAAGAGAGAAAGAGAGAAAGAGAGAAAGAGAGAAAGAGAGAAAGAGAGAAAGAGAGAAGGAGAGAAGGAGAGAAGGAGAGAAAGAGAGAAAGAGAGAAAGAGAGAAAGAGAGAAAGAGAGAAAGAGAGAAAGAGAGAAAGAGAGAAAGAGAGAAAGAGAGAAAGAGAGAAAGAGAGAAAGAGAGAAAGAGAGAAAGAGAAGCAAGTGGCCAAGAACAGCTCTCCAAACTATAGTTGTTCACTGCTTTGAAACTTCCGCGCCCCGGCTCTGCCGGACCTTACTGGTAGGTTCCCCCAAAAACTTGGTAAAAGAGCACTACTGGGGGACCTAGCTTTCTGCGCCAAAGTGCTGCCACGGTTTCGCCTTCGCTTTCGCCAAAGCTTTCCCCTGGGCAGAGGGTCTCTCAAGGCTGACATGTTGGATTCCTCAGATACCCAGCAAGTACCTCCATTTTTAGGCTGGTTGAGTTTAAAGGGGAACCCTTCCTCAAAAAAAAGAGAATCGGGGCCACTGGGCCACTAGATTTGCGTTGAGGACTTCGAGGGCCTTACTGTTCTTGTTGGTGTGACTTGGGCCAAAACCGAGCCAAAACAGGGCACCGTTGGCCTGCTCCCTTTTGGACGTTGACGTCTCGAGAAATGTCAGGTCCTGGACTCCCTGACACAGTAATCCGCCGACCCCTTTCTCCAAAGGGGAGGCGCATGGAAAGGGTTTGTCTTTGCGCTTGTCTCAGCGATGATTGTCATCGCCACTGCTGTTCGGTGATGGTTCGCGGCATCCGGATCATCATCATTATTCTGTTTCATATACGTTTCAAGCGCCTTTAGACCCGACTTGGAGTGTAGGTGATGCGTAGTCATGATTGCTGCTGGCGATGCATAGTGTTGATTATCATCAGGATGTTGCTCCTGATAATAATCATCACTACGCATCCCCACCAATAACCAGCAGTTGCCGTGACATCATCATCATCATCATCATCATCATCATGACCCGACTTGACATGCAGGGGATGCAAAGTGACGATTGTGACTGCTGGCGATGCTGCGGATGCATAGTGATGATTGTCATCATCCCTGATCACGGATGTTGGGTTATGATTCGCAGCGTCCGGATCATCATCATTTCTGCGGCGCTCTTCTTTTCCTTTATGCTTCAAGTGAGACCTGGCTGGAAATGCAGAGGATGCGTAGTCATGGTTGACATGATAACTGCTGCTGACGCTGGGGATGCATAGTGATGATTATCATCAGGATGTTGTCACGGTAACTGCTGGTGATGCTGAGGATGCGTAGTGATGCTTATCGTCAGGATCATCATCATCATGATCATGATCGTTATCATCATCATCATCATCATCATCATGATCATCATCATCATCATGACTGCGATTATCAACATCACTGATGTTGAGTGATGATTCGCAGCATCCGGATCATCATGTTTTAAGTGTGCCATTGTGCTTGTTTGATAGTCCGACACCAGCCAGTCAGTCAGTGGTCAGCTGAGCAAACGGGGCGCTGCCAAAGCCAAACCAAAGCCAAATGCCGGTAAGTGGGCAAAGGTAAAGGCGAGCTCGACGTCACCTCGGCCAGTAAGGGTTGACGACGACGAGCCCGTTGAGCAGGCCAACTCGCCGCCGGCGCAACAAGTTCAAGGCCCTGCGTCACCTCCTGGGCATGCGACGCCGGTCCTCGACGGGTTCACGTCGGTGGTGTCGCATGAGACGGGATCCCCAATTGACAAATGCCGGAAGCCTTGAAGATGCTCCTGGACGCAAAAGCTATCGTCTTGCATCACGAAGAGACACAGGACCTCCCAGCTCTGGCGCCCACACGCACATCGCGACCAGCATACTCACGGCAGGACTGGACCCGTATTGAAATGCAGAGGATGCGTAGTCATGATTCCAGCAAAATTATAATAATTCTCACCTTGTCACCTCGTTAGCGTAATTCGCCATATGGATTTACCACCCCGCCTCGCACTCCCCAAAAATGATGCCTCGCTAGCCAAACCCCGGAAAATGCGTTGCCACACAACAAGGGCGCCTTCAAAAAAAGACACAAGGGCACCTTCAAAAAAAGACACACCCGCCACGTGTGGAACCTCCCGCGGGCCTGCCCAAGAAAATTTGCTCACCCAACTTGGCTTGCCAAAGGGGCGTTGAGGCAGAAAGGCTTTTCCCACAAGGCTTGAACAAGGCCGGGCCTTGAACTCACAAAACCCACGGGGAAGCGTGTTGGATTTTTTAGCGTGGCCCAGCACGTATTTTGACAGAAAGCGAAGTTCAAGCATTGAGGCTTCACCACGGGTCTGTGGCCAGAGGCCCTTTTGCTCGCTTTTGAGGGTTTCCAGGGCGATGGCCTTCAAATTGGATTTTCGGAGCCCGGAAACTCTACATTGAAAGGTTCTGCCAAGCCATCCCTGCCGTTTGCGACCTGCCACATGGAAATGTGCTCCTTTTTCCAACAAGAAGTTGTTTTTAAGGGTTCCCAGACACAGCCTTCGCCACGGTCAAAAAGAAAGGGTCCCAGCCCACAAACGACTCCTTGAGAATGAGCAAGTGGGGCCAAGTTTTCTTTCATAGTGGTTCCTTACTTTGCTGGCTGAAGCCAATCCCAAAATGGGTTGACAGCTTAGTTCTCATATCTCCACCTCGCACCTCGCCTCGTTCTTTCCAGCTAGCTACCTTGTACCTCGGCTGAGCTCGCTATGATTTGCCCAGATGATTGCCATGATAACTGCTGCTGATGCTGGGGATGAATAGTGATGATTATCCTCAGGATGTTGTCACGGTAACTGCTGGTGATGCTGAGGATGCGTAGTGATGCTTCTCATCAGGATCATCAATAATCATCATCATCATCATCATCATCATCATCATCATCATCATCATCATCATCATCATGACCCGACTTGACATGTAGGGGATTCAAAGTGACGATTACCATCATGACTGCTGGCGATGCTGCGGATGCATAGTGATGATTATGATCATCCCTGATCACTGATGTTGGGTGATGGTTCGCAGCGTCCGGATCATCATCATTACCGTGGCGCTCTTCTTTTTCATGTACGTTTCAACAGTGCTGTTAGACCTGACTTGAGAGCAGGGGATGCGTAGTCATGATTGTCATAATAACTGCTGGTTCATCATCATCATCATCATCATCATCATCATCGCAATCTGATTGCATCCCGAGGTGGTCCTAACGTCTTACTTCTCACGAAGACGGAGCGATGACACAAAGTCCACGCTTTGCAGCCACAGCAACACAACGAAGGCACTTCTTGCAAAATTCAACAAGGTGCTTATTACGAATTAATCCTGCAGTAGCTTAAGATGCAGGGAATGCGTCGTCATGAATATGATACCAACTGCTGGTGATGCTACAAAATGCAAAGTAAATATTATCATCATAACTGCTGGCAATCATGCGAATGCATAGTACTGATTATCAGCATCCCTAATGTTGGGTAAAAAGATGCATCATCAAAAACATCATCATTATCGTGCTGCTCTTATTTTTCATATATGCTTTAAGTGTGCCGTTAAACCCGAAAAAATGCGTAGTCATAATTGTCGTAACAACGTCCCCTGTCAGCAAGCAGGGGCTGGCGGCACAGGGCGGCAGCCCTTAAATTCTAGGGGTTGGTTCCTCTTCATTATTTTCAATCATCGGTCTTTTCACAAACCACCTGCTTTTTCAGGGTTCTTGGTGGTTTTCTAGAAAGAAGGTTTTTGGAAAGCATGGGGAAGCTATCCTAAGACTAGTTCAAGAAACCAGGTAAGTTCAAAAAGCCAGGAACGCACGGGTCCTGGAGTGAGCCCTGGTGATTTCAGACATATGCCAAAACACGCAAAGCGCCACCCTGCATGGAGTACTCACAGGCTTTTCGATGTTGATGGGTATTTTTGAAAATCACGAGTCGCTCAATCGCTTGGTCTCTTGGTTTGTTGATGTCACAGTCCAAAACGGGACAACCCAAATAACAACAGATATATATATATATATATATATTGCAAATTAATGGCAAAACATTAGCTCCCAAAAGACGATCTGCACCGATTACAAGTTGCCGGTCACTTGAAAGCCAAAATACGTGGTCATGGAATAGGATGGACATGTTCCGCAAATGATTTAGCCCCCTCATGCTGGAAGTCACCCCTTCCATGAAGCAATCCTGAAAGCCTTACCAAGACCTTGCACAGGCTCATAAGAACACCTCAGAACTAGATTCAACAAGACATACCCATCCCTTACCAAGGGCATGTCCAACCCTGGTCGCAGTTGCCCGGTCCCGGTAGAAAAAGAATCGGAACCCTTTTTGGAGTCGATTCCATTCTTGGCGGGTCAACCCACCAAGCAATACATCGAACAACTCGGCCACCAATTCAACCACTCTGTAAATCCCTTTCATCCATAAGTTCATGTGGGTTGCCTGTACTCGTGCAAGAAAAACTTTGAAACATCTAAGACCATTAGCCAACCCACCCCCATCTGAGGGTTCACTCATGTGTCGACCCCAGATTCCCAAACATGATACGGATTCCCTCTCAAGGCCTCTCCCAACCAAAATCAACTCCTTAGGCCACGGATCTGCGAATTCAACCATGAGCTCATCTGATCTTCCATTTGGGTTGGTCTCAACATAGGGGACTGCGGTATTTTCCCGTTGGCTTGGAAGAGCTTCCGGTTCCTTCGCCTCGTTGGATCCCGAGATCGGACCCTTGGCCCGCCCCCAGGACCCGCCTTCGCCCTCGGCTTTTTCGGCGGAGGCGGCCGCTTCGCGAGGTGCGCCGGCGTCGTCCGCTGCTGCGATCCGAACCGTTTCGAGCGGCCCGCGGCCCGCATCGATCTCCCAACGTCTCCGAAGGTCTCGAGAGATTCCGATGGACGAGACATCAACTCCACTTGCGAGTTCTTGTTTTTCTCTCCAGAATCGGAAAAAATCCACTTGCGAGGTGTTTTTCTCTCCAAAACCGGCCGAGATCAAATCCCCCAAGTTGCCAGATCTGCCAAGGCGACCCATTTGGAGCGCCTTTTCAATAGAGAAAATACCCAATCGGTAGCATGGTGCACCTCCCTTCAAAAACGTTCCGGTTGGGGGTGCCAACTGGGAAGAAACTCCAGTTGATTTGAGAACCATCCTCTTTTTGCTGCATCCTCAACCCCAAGCATGCTGGGACGTGCAAAGAATCAAACATCTCCATATGGAATCAAACATCGAACAAAACAGGGGTCGCTGCTGGAGCATGCAAATCCAAACTCGCGCATTCAGAAGTCAGGCATGGCAATAGAGATGAAAGAGCAAGCAAAAGAGCAAAACATGTCGAGTGGCTTTGCAGAAGAAGCAATGTCTTGGGGGTGTTTGTACATACCCTTTTACATACCCCTCGAGTACACGACCCCCTCCGAGAAACAATTTCGGGGTATACCTAAGTGGGTCGGTAACCAGGAAAGCCCTTGGGAGGTGTTCCACCAGAACATCTCTATTTGCGAATGCGACTGTGAAACCAACAGTGGAGAACAACAAACCCTGTTCTTGCTTGAGGGTACACCTGTTGGTTTACTGGCTTTCACGGGAAACCAACTGGAAAACCAGAAAATCCATTTTCTGGGTCAAAAAAAAAGGACACACGTGACGCCCTCCATTGACCTGGGTTCCCCTCCCCGAGATGCCGCGGATGCCTTCATCAGCCTCGTCCAGTGTTGAAAGCGCCTCCTCCTCAGGGATGCCGACTCGTGGAAACCTGGGTCGTTGATTCACAGATATGGGCATGATTCTTAATTAGGGACTCTTTGGTGGACACCATTCAAGTGGGGATTCATGTCCGCCAACCACTTTTGAGGTGGTTCCTCATATATTTATTTTTCAAAAAAAAAAAAACATAGCCATATTTGTGGATGGGAGGGTGATGTTCTTTGGAAGGGTCCCAACCTCCCAGGAAGAGTTCAACAAGGGTTGCCGGGTTGCCCATGTCATGGAGCTATGGGTAATGTATAAATAGGGAGGCCGGTCAAAAATGAGGGTTTTGCTCGGTTTCCCTGTTCCACCCCAGCCCTTTTCGACAAAACCGGGTTTTGGGGCAAGGGGTTGATGACGATTGGATCAATCCCTGCTGGTAATGGGCACGTGCCAATTTTTTGTGAGGGTGCTTCTTTTCGGGTAGGGCACACAAAAGGAAAACCCCCTCATTTCGGGGGCTCTGTTTCAAGACCTGGGAAGACCTTCACCAAAAGGTCAAGCATGCCATCTACCACCCGACTGCCTCTCAACGGCTCGGAATGGCTCCTGGGTATCTGCATGTAATACGCCGCGAGTACTGCAACGGCTGCGATCGCATCCTCTCGGATTTCTTCGAGCGATTCAGCTGCGCTGAGCTGAAGCAACTCAGCACCAAAGAACTCAAATTGTCAGGTTTACCTTTCGGAGTAAAGGGGAAACTAAGAGGTCGAAGGTGAGTTACTCCAGACTCTAGGAGCCCACAATGCTTATCCCCGCACCTTTTGGCGCTCCCTTTTTCACATTCCCACAGCAATCCAGAGTCTCACTCCTCCTATCCACAAACGTTTGAGCACTTTACCCTGAGCTGATGTCGCTGAACAAATGCCAGAACAGGTGGGTGTGTCAATGTACGTTGGGATACACATCTTTCAGGTGGAAACTTGATCAAGGTTGTAACAAAAAGTGCGCTTCTCAAAATAGGAAGTCCTGTTTCCCCCTTAACTAAAGTGGGGAAGTCCCAAGTTAATCTTAGTACAGTGGGGCAGAACCGTTGGTAGAAAGAACTTAAGATCCAAATGACCCAATCCACTTCTTCAGAATCCAGTTTAGAAAAAGGTCCCCCCAGAAACATCGCTACGAAAACTCACCTTACATGGGCAAAAAAAGCATGGCGATCCTCAGAAATCCCTGGATGTCCCCTTCAAAAGTCGTAACTCAGTGGTATCCAATGAAACTGCCAATTGCGAGGTCTAGGGACCTTCAGAGACCCCCGACGCAAGACATGACATCTCTCGATCCCAGTCCGGGCGCGTGGAGGTGCCGCAGCGGATGCGGAGTTGAAGGGCTGCCCTGCCGAAGATCGCGCGGCCGCGTGGAACGTCGACACCTTCAAAGCCGATGGCTACAAACAAAAACCCGAGGCAAACAACCGGCCCCCGTCTCTTTTTTTGTTTGGCGTTCTCGCACTGCGCAGCATGAGGTCTCTTCGCGCAGCTGCGAGAACAAACATGCGCAAAAACCTCCAAGCCAGGGTCATGGTTTTGTAGACAACGGTCCTTCAATATCCTGGGGATTTGGGCGGGCACTTGCAACGAAAAACTCCCCAAAAGCGAGCAGGCATCGAGTTTTCAAGCCCAACCAGGAACGGCAAAGGCGTGTCGCAGATGAGTTGAAGCCAACCCCTGTGCAAGAGCAAGTGGCGCAGTGGAGCATATTTCTTTATAATGTGCCGACGCCGATACAACACTTTCTGGCAGCTCTGGGGCAAACGCGCTTGTCATGTCATGCAAAGGTGTGGACGCATTGCTGACTGGGCGCGCTTGAGCATGCGGGCTTATCATGCGCAGCGACGCCCGGGTCCGCTTGAGCGGGCGTGCTCGTCACGCAGTGCATAGGGGGCTGACCGGGCGCGCTTGAGCGGGTGTGCGTGTGAGCAGACGTGCCTATGGGCAGGCGACGCTGACTCATCCGGAAGCCCCGACACCTGGGAAACAACGCCGCAGACGTGTAGACAACTCAAGCTCTGTAGCTGGGACCGAGAGATGCTGAAAGGCGATCCCTCCTCCCCCAAGGAACTTCAGGGGACTCCAAAGAAGCTGAAGCATCCAAGTTGACAATGGTCCAGTGGTCCTGGTAGAAAAGGAACCTTTGTGAACATCTTTTCCGGACCTTTTCCGGCGTCGCATCCTCGGCCTCTTGGCGGCACACTGAGGATTCCTGACACAAGGGACAATGATGCTCGATTGCGCGGTATGGTTGCGGCGCCGCATGGTAGCCGGAGATTTGGCAAAAGCAGCGCCACAGAGCGCCTGCCCTTTTCAACGCAAGAGCGCAGGTGTGTCCGGGCCCTTCTCACCGTAAAACTGTGCTGAACGCGACCGCCGCAGGAAGTGTGCTCCAGACCATGAGTTTCGGAGTGAACGCACCAGCCATCAATGCCGGTCTCCCAGCGAATCTATAACACCAGTCTGCGCAACCCTATGGCGCATGATCTCGGTAATGCACCCGTACCACTGGCACAAGCAAGACTGATGACCCGACGCCCCTAACCAACCGCAGGGCGCTTCCAGAGGAACAGGAAGAAGCCCGGCGCTGAAGCAAGCACGATGCTGTTGCATAAGCACCACAGAGAGAATGTAGGCCCTTGCTCCAAGAAAACTTGCACCCGCGTCTCATGTCACCAGCAAGTTCTTGGAACACGGAGAGCTCATATGTAGTCAAATTGAGCAGTTCCAGGTTCTGCACGAACAAAATGCTCTTACTTGGCAACGCCTCCCTCATCACGGCCGAAAGCACGGACGAATGTCCTCCAACATTGCCAAGCTGCCGCACAACGACGCAATGTGAGAAATCTACCACGATGCGAAAACTACCGCCTGTGAATCCCAGCGGATTGAAGCGCCGAAAGGTAACGCGACCGTCACCTACCAGATCGTAGGAGACCAGAACCTGGAGCATCAAGGCGACCTGTCCAGCAAAAATATTCGGCATGCCCGGCCCCCCTGGTAGATTGCTCGGGCCGGGGCACTGAACCACTGGGACACCCAACTCCAAAAGCCACACCCAAAACCATGGCCTCGGATGCAGAGCTCTTCTATCCCGGGGCCCGCACGCTTTCCATCCGCCCTGGTTCAGCAAGGTGCCTCACGTGCAACGCGTTAGTTGTAAGCATTGGTTGAAGCGTGCCCCTTACAGAACAGAATGGTTGCTCGAAGTGGGCGCTAATAGGGCTTGGTTTGCCAAAAGTTTGCAGAAACCCGACTCGGGACCCTTTGACGAAAACCATATTAGAGGCTCGCGCGTGAGGGGAGGACCGAACTGGAGAGAACCTTATGTTTTGCTCTCCAACAAGGGGTTGTCCCCTTAGGGAGTCGTACCCAAACTGATGTGGAATAAAACTTTCAAGGACAACTTCATAGTTGTAGCGATGCAGGAAGAGAAGATTGCACAATTTCTGCGGGGTGATGTTCAAACCCACAGCCCACATCCCAAAAAGGACACTTTGGGGGTGTGAACCCCTACAAAAAAGTTAGGCTGTTGTGACTTAATAAAAGAGTCATGTTGCAACAAGCTAAAAGCTTGCGACTCCAGTAGAACCAAACACCCAGGAAGAAGGGCTCGAAGCAACCCCATTTGGGTACGTTGATCTCAGAGAGGAAGCCCTCCCCTCCCCCCCCCAAAAAAAATGACGGCGCCGAAAGAAAGCATTCCTATTTTGCCTGGTTGATGGTAAAGGGAAACTCACAACAACACAAAACAGGAAAAGTCGAGATAAAAAGGGGTAACAAACGGACACGAATCATATGTCAAGAAGGCGCCGGGCTGTGGAAACATGGAACCTCTTTGTTTGTTGGCATTGATCGAACGTAAGCACCCTTGCCAAAGCAAAAAGGGGAAGGATATCAAAAGACAACTTGTTTAACAATCAAAAAAAATGTTTTTAGCAATCAAAAAAAACTTTTTGAGCCATCAAGAAAAAACTTAATACACTCAGGGCTGCATTTAGTGAGAAACGTGTGTATCAAAAGGAACACGCAGTGCACGCGCACGGACACGGTCTCATCACACGTGCTGTAGCTGCGGGGTTACTCTTTTGCGATGGTCTGGGCGTTTACACGACAAAGACGTATAGGTCGGGGTTTCCTCATGTTCTTGGAAATAGAAAAACAGATCCCAGCAAAAAGACACCTTGATGAAAGGAAGAAACTAAAGCAGAACCAGGGAAGCCCTGCCCAAAAACAAATACACGCGAATCGGCGACGATTCGCATCCCGATCTGGTTGACTTTTGGAGGGCCCCAACTACTTCGAGAACAGAAGCAGAAAGGGAATCCCTCAACATGAAAAGGGACCCCCCGACAAAAAAAAGGAACTGGGGAACAGGAAAGCGGAAAAGTAAGAGACAAAAGAATACATAGCGAAGCCATATTTCTATTTGAAAGGGTGGTCGTCGAAGTGGACACAGTACCAATTCTTCCCAAACCGCACATCGAGGAACGCCCAAAGTAAGGCGCCTTCACGGGCAAGCAATCCCCTCCCTCCGACGCACCTCCGATCTGGCGAGCTCGAGAGAGCTAATTTACCCAACGGGTGCCTTTTTTTCCCCCCAGATAGCTGAAAGCTATAGGGGTTCTAACTTCTAATAAAGAGGGGAAAGTAATTTGCGAGATTGACGGCTGTTTGCTAGGGGGAATGCAGCTTGGGTGCTGGTGCAGGTGCTCTTTTGGGGTGCTGGTGACGGTGCGGGCGCATTTTGGCAACATTGACGGCAGGGTGCCAGGGGGCATGCAGTTTGGGGTGCTGGGTGCATTTTTGCAAGGTTGACGGCCGGGTGCTCTAAGTTTGCTTTTGGCTCTTCGGGCGGAGCTGTTAGAGGTGCTGGTGTGCAGTCATCGGCCTGGTTTTTCGCTATCTGGGGTCTACGCTGGTGTGGAACCCCCAAGATCGTGGGTTTCCCTTTGATTTCCCTTTAAAACCAACCAACAGCGAGCACCAACTCCAGCTGCGCCAAACCGAAAACGCAAACCGAGCTGCAGCAGGTGAGTGCAGACTTCAGCACCTCGCGCGAGCGAGGTTCTTGAAGGCACCTACTGGCCGCCTGGAATTTGTTGGCTTCAAACTCAAATGCCCCCCCAAATAAAAAGTGGCTAACATGTTTATCCTTTGGCTGTGGGTCATTAGACTGCGTACCCAAAATGGGTTGCCCTGGCAAGTGGAAACATAGACTAACATCTGCGATCCCCTGGTGGTTCAAATTTGACCCATACCCATTTTTCTGGCTTCAAACTTGAATGGCCCCCCACCCTCAAAATTGGCTGGGGGATTTGTTCAAATGCCATGTAAATGATGGATCCAAGCGAAAATCAAACCATGTTGGATCCAAGAAAGACGGTTTTATTGTTTTGTTTCTCTCCGATTGGAAAAAACAAAAACACATCACCCTGCAAGGACACCCACCTCAAATAACCAACTCAAAGGTGCCCAGATCCAAGCAGAGGTCATACATGCTTCTTCCAGAAACAACGTGAAAATTTGGAACCCTTTCATTGACTGGACTGCTTGGGCAAGACCAGTAGGGGTCCCCCACTTTGAGGAAGCACGAACTGACAACAGCCAGGTGTTCCCTCCAAGAGGAGGGTGAACCCCACTAAACGGGGACACACCCTATTAATTATTCAGGGGGTTATTCATCTGGGCTTCCCATTCATGTCCACCAAAACATGGCACCAAAGTTGAAAACCCCTTCCAACAATGAAAGTGCAACGCTTGGTCCCAACATGAGGAAGAATCTATGGGTATGTCTGTGTTGTTCAGGGTTCCCTGTTGACCTTGGTTTTTATGGAAGCCACCCTTTGACACCCATGTAAGGACCCCTACAATACCCGAGCGGAACAAATGCTGGGACAGTTGGAGGCGTCCGTTTACTTGTCTTTGACCCAAAAAGAGCCATGTTGGCGAACTTGCTCTCAGGGAAACCAACATCGACCAACAAGCCAAAGGTTTGTTTGGAGAAGCCAAAGCGCAACATGTGTCGTATCCTGGTGCTCTTGTGGGCTACTCAAATTGGCAGAGAATCAAAACACAAAGCTTGCCACGCCGACTGGCAAGGGGCTTGCGCAGGAAGCTGGCTAGATACGAATTCAAGAGCCAGCTTTCTCTCGGTCAAGCCATGGGTAATGGCTAAAAGGGGCATATATAAGGACCTTAGAGACTCTTTTCAATAGGCAGCCTTCATGGTTTTGGCATGTTTTACCTGAAGTACCGAAGCCATGGTTTAACCGCCTCTTGTCCAAACAGCCTCCTTGTGGTTCCCCTTAACAGGCACCAGGATCCGGCTGCCCAAACAGGGGGGCTCCAGTTCCCTAAAGAACACATCACAAAGACGCCAGCTCCAATGCCACAGGCACTTGTTTAACTGGCGGCTTGTGACCTTCTCGGGTCACTACGGTTTCAACACGTTTTGGCGGACAGGACAGACTCTGCAAAACCTGGGCCAAACGGCAATTTAGACCCTGTTTGCAGGATGAAATGGAAATTGGAGTTCGAAGGAAAACTAGAAGAGCAAACAGTAAAAAGGTCCGTTGAGTCTTCCAATGTACAGCTAATGGGATCAACTTTGGTGCTACAACCAGACTGCATAATTTGCCACAAGTACTCTCCAAAACTCACAACCAAACTCTTGAAGCAAACTCTTAGGCCCCTACTCTTCATAGCACCCCAAAAAATCGAAACATTCTTCCCCCCACAACACAAATTCTCCCCCCTCCCCCCCCCCCAAAACCCGAACCCCCTGTTGTTTTTCCCTTGTTCCCCACACGCCTCGCCCGGCTCGGCTCTCCCCTCCCCCCCCCCCCACGTCCGTCGACTCGCGCGCGCGTTTCTTCTCGCGTCGCCGCCTCCGCGGAGCTCTCCAGCCGCGCCGCGAGGCGCAGCGCGAGGCTGTGGGCGCTAGGGCCAGGGCCGGCGAGGCCGCAGAGGTGCAGCCGGTGCAGCGCCTCGACGAGAACCGCGCGGAGGAGGCGTCGGGGCGGCGGGTGAGTGAGTCGGGGGCGGCGGGTGTTTAGGTGTATGGGGATGGTTTTCAGAAGGTGCTTTACATGAGGAGCTTTCTGTGTAATTATGGGGGTTGATCGAAAGGTCCTTTACACGGGATGACTGGGGACAAAAGACAAAAGACAAAATGGGATCTTCCCCCATGCAGGCTCGTATGGGAGTGTCCTTTTGTGGAGGTGGTACCTCCTTTTGAGTGGTTTGAAGGGGAAACTAAAAAGGGAAAAACATCATTTGGGACTCCGATTCTTAAAGAAAGACACGCCCATATAAGCCATGGTGATTGCTAGTTTCCCCGAAGAGGACATGGACATTTCGTGAGGTAGCCCCCCCCAAAAACAAATAATGCACGGGTCCGCTTTACTCGCTTTGGTTCTGTCACCCGGGGCCGACAGACCCCTCCTCACAAAGCAGAAATAACAGCCCTCAAACTACTCGCGTGTCAAACACTTCGGCATCAACTGGCCGAAAGACTGCTACAAACGGAGAGCCTGCAAACGTTTCAAGTGGCTTCCTCAAACAAGACTAAGAGCCAGGTGTCATTTAAATTCTTCTCAAATGGAAAGGCTTGCTTTCGGGAAGCGATTGCCTGCAATTGAACCCAGCTTTGAGAACACTTCGCAAAACATCGCAGATGTTTCCATTTACCAAGCCGTTTTGGGGTTACCCTACTATTGAGCCACATCCAGATCGCTTCCCCTTGCCTCCGCGACCTCCTTGTAGCGCGGCCCGTCCTCCCTCGCAAGCATCAGCTCTCGCGGCTTCCTGGTCAAAAAAGCTGCGGCGACCTTTTGAGGCAAGCTTTTCCCCATTCTTTTCAGCCATCGTTCTCTTGAAACACCAGCCATTTCCCCAGGGGGTTTTGGTGGGAAAGAATGGGAAGTTAACCCTAGAACCTAAGGAAAGAAGCTGCAACTTCGTTGGGAAAGCCACTCTCAAAAGTCGGGCACCTAGGAAACTTCCTTGACTTTGCCCAAAACGGGGCCGCAAACAAGCAAGGCCTTTCCACGGATGATGTTGCACCTTTGACCCTCCCAAAACAGGAGGGGTTCCTTCTCAAAACTGCCGGATTGTCCCACCGAAAAGGGGTGACCAAACAAGTTCATGGTTTTCCCCCTTCAAAGTGGCCTTTTTCGCTCGATATATTTGAACGGAAAGAAGGGTTCGCAATCCAGGTGTGGAATGATTCGCCAACCTCAGACCCCCTCCCCCCCTCCCCCAGCCCCTCCAGCCCACCCAACCCCCTTCCCCCCCCACCCCCCGCACAAAGAAACCAGTTTCCACGTTTGAAACAAAGACGCCCCCGGTGAAGCAGCACCCAGAAACCGCCGAGTGCCTGGTGAAGGCATCCAAGCGCGGCACCAGGTACGCCAAGGGACCCTGCTGGTGCCTCGCAGAGTTGGTGGAGATCTTGGGTGTGGCTCCGTTTTTTTCATGAGGGGAACCCCTTGTTTTGCGGTGTGCACGGAAACCAAAAGGACAACCAAAATCCATTTTGGGGGGGTCCGACTCCGAATGAACGACACACCCAAATGGGATAACTCCCTTTCCTTTTTTGAGACCCTGTTTTTATGGTTTCGAAGGGAAACCGAAAGGAACACCACAATTGTGGGGGTCAAAAAAAAACAGACACACCTTGTGTGTGTGTGTGAAGATGTGTCAAAATAAATAGGGGATCCCCACATGGAAGGCTTTCATTGTGTGGTGTTTCTTTAAACCAACCCCCCCCCCCCAAAAAAAAAATGGGTACCCCCAAACAGCATACTGATATGTAGGGGCAATATTTTTGGAATTGGGACACCAAAATCGAGTGATCTTTGAAACCAACTTTGAAACGCGCCCCCCCTCCCCCCCCCAAAAAAAAAAAAACACGCACACACACACACACACATGTATTTGTGCTCGGGCCTGCCATCTATGCTTGCTATGGTGTTGTTGTTGCGGCTTCTGCAAAATGGAAGCTATGTTCAACCAGCTGAGGTATTCCGCAGGGAAAAACAGTCGCCTGCAGTTTGCAGTCCAGGGAGCCAAGGAAGAGTACTGGAATGCAGCTGGGGATAGAATTCTTCTTCTGGGCAACTAACTTTCACACATGGCCATGGGTCAAAATCTCGTGCCCCACAGTGAACATCCGATTCAATCCCTACAAACATCGGCTCTAAAATGGGCGGTGAATTCACCTACCCCAAAATGGTACCATTGGTTTTGACCCACAGCCAAATCGGAAAGAAGGATTCTCGAAGTGAGGGGCCTTCATGGGCGAGCTTGCAACTTATCCCGTGAGCTCCTTATAGTCGGCCCATACCTCATGTCCTCGACAAGCTCTCGTCCGCAGAGTATGAAACGCCCATGGGGTCAAACCAAAGCCATGAACTGCCAACGAATTTAGAGGGTTTCCCTAGAATTCAAGCGTCCGGGGTGGTTCAAGGCAAACCAAAACAACCCGACGCCCCGAAAAAGTGCGCCAAAACATGGTGCGTGTCCACTTGGACTGGGGACTTCCAAAAGCCGTTGAAAGCGCCCGAATCCCAACTTGTGTCTTCTCAAGCGCCTCAAACCGCGGCTTGCCGCCCACTAAGGGGATAGATACATGGTGTTCTTCCTGTTGGACAAAGGACTAAGGTGATGCTTCAACCGCATAACAACATGTTATAGTAAATCCCGGTACCACATTCCCAACTTGTTCCCCCCATTTTCCCCCTGAACATCATCACACCAGGAGGAAACTCATCTAATGGCTCAAAAGGTGATGTTTAGATGCGCTGAAAAGGAAACCAAACCAAACAACACATGGTCAATTGCAGCAAACCATGGGATTTCCGCCTTGTTTCCCTCGCACAATTGCAAGGGTCGCTAGATATCCTCCTTAAAGGTTGCACTTTGTGGAGGGGTTGCTGTGAAAATGCAACTTTGGGTCCCAACAAGGAATCAAAATTGAACCCCTGAGTTAGGGCATCAACAAAAAACATATGTTCTTCCAAGGGCTTCGGACATCATCGTTGACCTTGTTGTAGATTGGTTCAATGGAAAAGACAAAAATGGCTCCCAATCAAATCCGTCTCCCCGGTCAATGCGATCATTTTTCGCATCTCAGCGACACCAAAAGGATTTCAAAGGTCCGTCCAAACCGGAGTGTCTCCATTTGCTTGAGCCCCCCGCAGAAAACAACATGTCAAACTAAGTATTTCCAGCAGTGATGGATTCCCTTTCAAACCGGGGTCGAAAAATTGATACATGGTCTGTTTCGCCTCTGAAAGAGAGGAAGCTGCTTGATTTTATGTATATTTCCGGTTGGCGTCCCTTTTTGTATACCATGTCTTGCCTTTGGTGTCCCACATGTTTGACGTTGTTGATGCCTATTCCCGCTGTCGGCCAAGGTGCAGGGCCGCGACCAGCTCCCCCAAAAAGATGGGTGCCGCGCGGCAGGCGCACAGCGCCAGCCACAGGAGCGCCGCCAGGGTCACGACCTCGCGGCGTGGGTCGGCTTGTTTCCCTTGGGGGCGGTCAGCTTCAGATGGCCCCGAATTTTTAATAGGTCGCGGACCCTGTGGACATCATTTGGGTGGGGATTCATGTCCACCAACCCACTGTTGAGGTGATTCCAACTCTTAAAATTCATAGCCATGTGAATCAGCCAACCAGTTGATTTGGTTGGGGGAGGGGGAGTGTTGGCCCCTCCAAGAGTGGTCGGATTCCCCACATGTCACCCAAAAACACCCCCCGATTCATAAAACTGGGGTTGAGTTTTTGGGGCAAAAAGGAATGAGGCTGCCATTGAATATGACCAACACACGACCTCAGAAAGAGTGGTTGCTTCAAACAACAAGGGTTCCCCCTGAGTGATCGAGAAAGTACAATCATGGAACCATTCGGAGGTTTTTCAAAACAGGAGCCAACCCCAAAAAATAGTTTTGTTTGGATTCCCTTCTAGCAACCAAAAAGGGGTCCACCATTTTCAGAACTTCCAAATGTTTTTTTGGACGAGGGCGTGTGACCCGAAAGGTAAACAAACGGTAACGCTGGTCACCGTTCGAAACATATGGATCTGTCTGTTTTTGCGGGTACCCTTTTTGGGGTTGGTTTAAGGGGAAACCAAAGGTAAACTACTAATTTTGCAGGCTCCCTCAAGACAAGGCGCACTTTTTTGGCGTGCCTTTAGGGAGGGGGGAAGGTGCCATGGATTGAAACATGGCCCAGTCCTCCAAAAGAATAGATCGGTTTCCCTAGCCCTTGGTGACCTGGTAGAAGTGGTTTGTTGGTTCACTCAGACGGAAGCCAACCTCAGGATTTGTGCCTTGGGGATGACTGGAGAAGGGAAAGGGTGGCATGCTGAGGGGGCTTGCAGATGGAAAACCTCCAAATCACCCGGGACCTGACCATCCTGACCCTGAAACCTTTGATTGGTGTGTTTTGTTGGACGGCGCCCTTTAGGGGTGACCCCGATGTGCGGCCAGCCCTGCACGGCACGCTTGGCACCGTGTTTGAAAGCTTTGGGGAACTTCCGACCCCTGCTCCGCTGGTCGGAAAAACCAGAGTCGCTCAAAGGATACCAGCTGGGGCCAGTTGATTCAAATCACCTGTTTGAGATCAGCTGATCTACAAGATTTCTTCAGGCAGGTCCTGTGGAAGCTTCTCAAAATGGATCGCGGACCCATGTTGGCTCAAAGTTCCACAAGCACCGAAAGGAAAACCAACCATTTTGGCGGAAGGGGGTCCCCAAAATGGAAGGCTCTCATTATGCCATGTTCCTTTAAACCAACCAGAATGGGTAATTACCCTCAAAAAAGAAGCCTACCGCATAGGGGGCAAAACATTTTTGGGGACTGCACCAACATCGCGTGATTCTCGTTTTGGCTTCCCTTGAAACCCACCTGAAAACGGGCATCCATCGCGAAAAACATATTATATATTATTTTTTTTAAAAAAAAAAAAAGAGGAAAAAAACGGGGCCCGTCTAAGAAAAAAGGGAGAATCAAAACCCTCGCCCCCCGCCCAAAATTTTCCGGCCCACACAGCCGTCGGCCACATTCGCTCCCCGAAGGCCCGGCCTTCAGCTGCGGCGGGGGGAAAATCTGGAAAGCGCCTGCGGCGCAGCCCGACTCCACCGAAAAGTCCCCGTGGGTTCGGTGCGTTCGTCGGAAATTTGCGAACGAAGTTGGATCAACTTGGGAGGTGTTTTTTTTTTCATGGTTTTGGGGGGAGAACTGGGGGAACCCTGACCCAATTGAGGGACCTATTCGCGACACTGAAGTTGCAACCTCGTTCGATGGATTTGCCCGTTCGAGGGGTCGAACAAACACTCTGCCACTTTTGGAGGGGAAGCAAACCCCGCTTATCCCGTGCCAGAAGCTGCGCTTGCATTGGGATGCATACGTCATCTGAAAGCTGAAGGGTATGACTGGGAACTGCCAAACTTCGATTGCCAGGGCTGCCCTTTTCAACCTTTCTGAACCTCTGGTTTTGTCAAACTGAGATCACCCGAGCTTATTCAGGAGTCACAAGAATTCCTGTGACTACCAAGCCAGGACAGGAATGATTCAGTCGGAACTCTCTTCGCCTTCAAGCCTCGTTTGGAAGAGGTGCGCTCAGCTTTGTTGTACCACCAAATCCAAAAAAACTTCATTCCTGTGATGGCCACATACAGTGCTCCTTCTCCGGGCTTAGCCACTGGCTCTTCTTTCTTGGTCGAAAGATCTCAGGGGCGCTAAGCGGAACATTAAGTTTCCAAAAGACCCTCTGTGCCTTTGTCAGTCTTATTCCCCAAAATCTGATGGGTGCACCTTGGATGGTCTCTGCACCTCGGATGTGCGTAGCAGCACCTCCGTGGCAGGCCATCCATTCTGCAAAAAAGCGTATTGCCACAGTGCATGCTTATATATATATATATAACTTCCAGATAACCTCATTGAAAAAAATAACTTCCAACTCACCTCCTAAGATAGAACTTCCAACTGACCGATTCAAAAACCAAAGTTTGAAGGTTCTTGGACCGCGGGTTTTGCTCCATCCCCCGGCGCCTTCCGATGCCCTCTCGCCGGCCCCTGCCGCTCGACTTTTTTTCGAAGCGCGAGGCGAAGGCTCTGCAAGGGGAAGAGGGCCAAACGGAAATGAAACTTGGGGCCAACTGGGCCTCCGAGAAAAGAAAAACAAAAAACGAATTGAATCTGTTGTTTTTTTGAGGCTACCCCGCCTAAAGATGAATGTGTTAGGGCTTTCCCGTTGGTGTCCCTTTGAAACACCCAAAAAGGGTACCCTCAAACAACAACGAGCCACCCATATCCCGTAAACGGAGAAACATCTCTCTCTCTCTCTCTCTCTCTCTCTCTCTCTTTTCCCACGGTTGAATTTGAACAACACGCTGATCGTCCAGTCCCCTTCCAACAAAAAGGCTGGTTGTTGGAACCAGTTACTAGGTTTGCCCAACCCTCTGGCAATGGGCCCTTTGGCAGATATGGAGGATTTGTAGTCATGCATAGCAACATGGGTTCGTGAAACAAAGGGCAGCAATTTACCGCACTTTATTCCTTTCAAGCAACACCAAAGGATCATCAGCGAGTTACGGCTAGAACAAATGGCACAACATGTGGCAAACCTAAAATCCCCTCCAAATGAATAGGTTTCATGACTGTCCCCATGATTAAAGAAAAAAGGACAAGAATCTGGCTTTGACACATACCCATTCGAGTCGTTCACTCTTGCCCTCCAGTTTTTCTTTGATCTGCCTCGGCCCAGGCTACCCAAAGGAGTTGCATCTCTCAAAGCACCATCATAGGCACCAAGGAAAGCAGCCATTTACGCAAGCGGCTGCTTTCCATCTCTTCAAAGGGCGCACATGGCCGCAACGGCGCAGAGAAACACCAACATGTGACCAGCGAAAGCAAAGTGGATGGAGCCTGCCATGCGGAAGAGTCTGACTCACTGGCTAAGCTGTTTGTTTGAGTCTTGCCACGTGGGGGTGTGTGTGTCAAAATAGAGGCACCCGTAAAATTATGGCGTTCCCTTTACGCCATCAGAAAGGGTACCGAGCGAGCCACAGAGACACACCCACAAAAAGCCACATGTTGGAGACACCACCATGGAAAGCAGCCATTTGCACCCCCGCGGCTCAGCACCCGCAACTTTCCAAGGAACTTTCTCTCGCTCCATACCCCACACAGTTCCCGGAGGATTGTCGGAAGTCCATAGGCCTTGGTATGAAACACCCCACCAAGCTCAGTTTGCACAGATGTCAAACTGATAGGTGCAAGTGCCAACCTGACACGGGTTCAGGCACTGGTGGGGTGACAACCCCTATGTAGCACAGATGTCAAATCTCCAAAGGCTTTTCATCCTGGGACTACAACAAAGGAAACGACTACCATCTGGCTCAAGGAGTGATTGATTTGAAGCCTGTCGGAGCAACCCTTTCCGGCGTCCTCCACACATAGCCCATATTTCTGGAGCCTTAAAACGCAACAATCATCACACAGTGTAAAATGAACCTTAACATAAACCCAATGCTTAAGCAACCTCCCTCAAAGTGTCATGTATGTGTATACATATGTGCATATATATACATACAGTCCTGTTTATCTGCTTTATCTACTTACTTATTTATTTATTGATTTACACATATACATATCTATACATATATGTGTATGTATATATATATATGATATATTAGTCTCCAAAAATACATGTATAGATATGCCATTCTCTTCGGCAGAGGCTGCGGTTCGTGCGGCGAAGCCCCAGCCTTCGCCGCTCATGTCCGAAGACTTGGGCTTCGGAGCGTCGGCTGGCGGGCCTGGTGCCCAGAAAAGTCAGCCGCCTCTTGGAGGTCCCCGGAAACCCCAAAAAACGCCTGTGGGTCCCCTGAAACAACCAATGGGATTCCCCCCCCCCCCCGTTTTTTCTCGGGGATCTCGCGTTTTGGTGGGTGAAATGTTGGGGAAACCACGCCAAAAAGCAACAAGCAAGTTGTGGTCAAAAATGGGGGAATCGGAGCCAAGAAATGGGTGGAGTCCCCCCTGAGTTGCCGGACTGAAAAACGAGCCCGAAAAGGGTAGCCTCGAAAAGACACACGCAGCAAGCCTCAAACCGGCAGTTTTCAGTTGCTTGCCCATTGGACGTCTGAGATTGCACCATGCAACTCACTTGCAAAGGACCCGGAAATCAACATTTGACCTGGGCAAATTACAAGCCCAGAACTCAGTTCCAACAGCAACAAAAGGCTGCCTGTTTTGGGCTGAGCCCTTTTCTACGCCCCGCACCCTGCCAAACAAAAGGAGATGTAGAGGGTGGAATCTACTGAACAACTGTGAACCTCTTTGGAAGGGTCAAAACTAAGCAAGAAACACAAGAACTAATTTCCCTTTCCTTGCTTTCTGAGCTTAACCGATCTCAAGTGCAATGCAAAAGGAAGCACCTTCTCTGACAACTTGGCAACTGGAAGCAGTGAAATGGGCCCCAGTCTTTGTGGTTTGCGCTGCAAGTTCGCTTAAAAAATAAAATATAAAAGAAGAAACACACAAGTCTGAGGATTTCTCAAAACGGAACCCGGCCTTCCAGACCCGCGAAAAGGGGTTCTTGATGTCCGCGATGTCTCACAACCGATTGAACACTCCCATCCTCCTTCGGGCGCATGGCTCCCATCTTCGCGAGTTGAAGGACACCCAAACATGAGTCAGGCCCACCCAACTCCTCTCGGCATGAAAGCTTTCTCAGGAGTTGGACCCCTTCCCCAGTAAAACACCAACCAAGAGGGGGCTCGGCATTTTGATAATTTTGGCGCGCTGTTCCACCCAAAGCCCCCTTGAACCAAGGATAGACCCCCAAACATGGTTTTTCCTCTTGGACGAATGTGATGTCTCAAAATGGGGGCCCAAAAACGTGTTCGCATGCGAGTTTCCCTCCAACACGAAAAGGGTCATCACCCTTCGCCTCACACAAACGAGCCACGCCCATGTCAGGCACATCCAAATTCGGCCCCCGAACATGGTTCTTTGCTGTTGGACGCGGATTTCGGACTCAGGCGATGCTCAGACCCCCTGAACCGCCCGCTTCGATTCGTGGGCCTTGCAGGAGCCGCAAGTAGCGCTGCCACAAGTCCCTGCCCGAAAATGCGGGGGACTTCTGGGCGGGCGGCTTTCTCATGAAGCCGATCCTCTCAGTCTTTCTTCAGTCTTCAGTCAGTTTCACTTTTACGTGGGCTGGGGAGGAGACAAAAGGGCACGACCAAAAGGCTTGATAACCATGTTGGATAGCTGATCATTGTGTGCGTGTGGGGGGAACCCACGAAACAAAAAGGGGTTTAGAGAAGGGTTCAATCACACGCAACTGGAAGTCACCTAACTCCTCACCCGGAGGGGTTGGTGGGTCCAAGGGTGGCGAAGCCAGTCTCCATTCGAGCAAAACACCAACAAAGCTGCCCCCCATTGCCCATGGATTTAGACTGATCACAGTCACCCCCAAAGTGCCACTGATGCACAACATCCTGCACCGGTTGGGATGCAAGCCTGGGCAAAGTTTGGGGTCCTTGGTTTATCTTTTCAACAGCGGAGGGTCGGTAAGAATCATGTCTGGGTCCCCGACAGTGGTTGCGCGCGCTTCTCGGATCCGGGTTCTCAGCATTACTCGACCCCTTTATACCACGATGGCAATTTAGAGGACGGATCCGGGACCGTTGCAAGTGGATGAAGCCCTTTGATTTTGATGAGGAGCAACCCATTTAGGAGGTAAGCATTCAGAGGTACGTCACCTATGCTGAGGGGATCTTGAAGTTGTGTATTGTGTCAATCTTACACGGATTTACCCAAGGTCGATCCCGAATTACTCCATCGGGTAGAATAGTAGGGCGGGGGCGGGGGGATCCCGCCCTCAAAAAAATGGGTTACAGTTACCCCCAATCAAAAGATCAACCAAAGCTTCAGTGCTCCACTCCAAAAAGGTCCAGGATTCCCACATCCCATTCCTGTCGCTCGCTCGCTCGCTCGCTTTCGCTCGCCCTCCAGGGCTCCGGCTTGCCGGTCTCGAGCAGCGCATACAAGGGCTGCTCCCAAACCAACGCGGCCACGTGAAGCCTCGGACGAGGCAAAACAAGCAAGGCATCGAACGTCCCCGAGTTTACGACACGATTCGAAGATGGCACAACTGGATGAGCCCAACTTCTAAAACAAAACATATGGCACAACCGGCACTTTCCGAGAAATTCGAGGGGTCTGGGGCATAGCCTCGCAAGTCATAGCCTTTGGCTGGGTGCTACCAGTCGACCACAGGGCTTGAGGGTCCGGACTGGTGCCACCCGTCGGTCAAAAGACAAGGCAGGGAGAAGCACGATGTGTCCATTGTGGGTCTAGGAAACAAGAGGCCCAACGCCACCGTCAGACCGGCATGGCCTTATCTACCGTTGAACCCCTTCATAATTTATGGTTCAAAACCCCTGTGAATTGTTGAGTTGAAAGCCGCATAAAGGTATGAAAACCACCTTTGCTGATTGAACCCTGCCCCCCCCCTTCCCCGCGTTTCCTTCTATATAGCGGAAGTTCTGAGTCACCTCCCCAAATCCCAAAACGCAAATCGATCCGCGCAGCATCTCCAGGAAGATCAGCTGAATCTGGCCGCATCGCCCACCCGTGGCACCCGTGAGACTGGACGAGAGAAAAACAGAGAACCCAAATCTCAGTGTGGCTCGTCTTGGTCTTCCTCTAAGACACCAACAAAAGGGTCCCCCGATTTTTTTGTTGACACTGGGGAAACTACCATATGTTGGGGGGCCAGCCCCATGATTTTGGACGTTTTGGGGGTCCCCCCTAAAAAGGAACCCGTACCCGTTTGGGCCTCTCTTCTGTGAAGGCACCCTTTTCGGGGCTTGGCGTAAAAGGGAAAAACCAACCGGGAACACCGATCGAGCTCCATGGGGGTGGCGCGTCCTATTTGAGCCACACCCATTTGGGTGTGAAGTTCAGTGGGTGTTGGTCCTTTGGTCAGTCGGTGGGTCCCGATTCATGTCCAGCCACTTTTTGCGACTCTTGAAACCTCCACCGGCCATTTGGAGAATCCTTGCGGGTCAACGTCACCCCAAAGCACACTCCTTTCAACATGGTTTCCCTTTAAACCAAGCCCAAAACGGATATCCTGAACAAAAACCACCATGATTGAAGCACCGAAAGATGATGCTTGAATCACTCATCTCAGCAGGTGTTCATTCGTGCTGGTTCGTGTCTAAATATCACCAAAATGCTGAGACCCAAGACTCTCACTTTGGGTGTTTCAAACTGGCTAGATGTGTCTTAGGCCCCCTTTAGATTTAAGGGGGTCCCCATTTCAAGACACCCCATCCCCATGTTTGAGATGTTCCAAATTCAGCGAACCTTAGAACGTACAAATATATCAACAGAGACCACAGAGCAAACTTGGCTATTGCCCCCCCCCCCCCCTCCCCCCGCCCCCGCCCATAGAGCTTGACCTTCCGGCTAGTGGAAAAACACCCGTTTGGGTATGTCTCACAATAGGAAGCGGACACTCCAAAAATGGATTTCGGTGTTACTTTAAGTGTCCCTTCAAAACCACCCCCAAAACAAATACCACCTCCAACTCCAAACACAAACTCATTTTCAAAAGCAGCCAAAGGTCACGGGCTTCTACCACATGGCAGCCAGGGAAAAGTGGTTAGAACATGTCAGCAGCTCCCTCTGGCTTCGAAGGCAAGAGGAAGCGAAGCAAGATCAGATTGCAAAAGGTAGGGATTCGGTATGGAATTTCTGTGGGGAACCAGCCCAGTCGACATCACGGACATTTCTGCTCACCAACCACCCTTGG